GCTTCCTGGGAACTTGAGGAAGCTAACCTAATCACTAGGACTCATTGAAAGCCGCTCAAACTAAAAACATGATATCCTCTTGCAAGGTGAGTTTTTTGACTTTTGAACTATTCATATAGGAATTGTCAGGATTCCATTTTCAAAGATAAAATGTAGATACCATTTCCACGAAGCTGTACATATCCATAGTTTGCATTTATATGGGCTGAGCTTAGAGAATTTTAGAGTTGAAGTTTCTGAAATTTTTAGGTTTTTAATTAAGGCCAGAAAAATTCTCACTCATCTTGGATTTATAGCTTTAGTTATTTATATGGTTAGATTCGTGGGGAGAAATGCCACAAATTTCATGTTTGTACTTTCCATTTTTGTTGAGAGATGAAGAAGTTACAGGTACTCTGGCTGGCTGAAGGTTGAAGATGAAGTACAGGCCTTGGAAGCATGTTACGTTATGTATTTATCATTTAATTTTAATAAATGAATGTACAGCCACCCCAGTGGTATGGCAGCACACTGGTAACCAAGAGGGCGTGGGTTCAACACCCAGCGCGCTACCTTCTCTCATATTTTTTCTTTTACTAACCCCTGACTTACTTCAGCACCCCTGGCCCAATTTTCATTATTATTTTCTTTTTCTTATTTTATTTTATTTCTTTTTCCTTTATTATTATTATTATTAGCATTATTATTAATAGTATTATTTTTATTATTAATAAAAATCCAAAAAATATTTTATTTATTACTTTTACACTTATTTAGTTTATTTGTTTTATAAAACTAAAAGAACAAAAACATTTTCTTAATATATTAATTTCTTTCTTAATAATTAATATTCAGGTTTAGGTTTAACTATTATATTATTTTCTTGCAATTAAAATTAATTTAGAACTGGGGTTTCTTTTAATTAATTAATATCCATATTATTTTTATTAATTTAAAACCTTTTCATAAAAAAACCTTAAAAAATCCCTTTTTAGTTAATTTATTTTCTTATTTAGTTTAAGTTAATTTTATTTAATTTTCCTTAATCATTTTTTAATTAGGTCAAGACTAAAGCCTTTCATAAAAAGACAAAAAAATCATTTCTTTTTTCCATTTACATTCTTCCATTTTTATTTTCAATTTTGTACAATATTCAATATGGTTGTAATAGTTAATTAGATTTAATTTTCTTGCAAAATCCCCCATTTATAAATTTGTACACCCCCTCCCCTATTGATGTAATAGCTTAGTATTTTTATTTTCCGCAATTTAGTGCTTTATATATAAATGCTAGAAATTAGGATTTGTATGAAAAGATAAAAACCAATACTTAGAAAACCCTAATACAAGACAAATCAAGCATGAAAAAGACACACTTGCACACTTTGCACCTCTAGGGTTAACTCCACTTGTTGCCTTGAGAAATAAATGGTCATAATACGCATGTAAGATGTCTTATAAAAATAAACAAAAATACAAGATCATAGTCCCTCGATGACTCTACAAATGTTGCCTTAAAAATGATCTTAGTCCCTCAAAGAAAATGCTAAGATATCTTACAATATTGCTATTCATGACTATACGATGACCCTTGCCCGTCCCTTTTACATCCAAAGATAGGGTTTCTTACCAAATCAATGGTAAGATAACAATATCAAAGGAAAGAGGAAATAAAAATGAAAGACTTTTGAGTAGGTAGAATGTTCCTAGTTGCTTGCTCATTTTTAAACTAAAACATTCTTGCTATTTTCAAAACAAACACCAACACTTTCAAAAACATCTTCCAAACTTGAAAAACATTTTCCGAAGATCAACACTTTGTATACATTATTACGAACGAGAATCATTACAATTTTTTCCTAAACGATGGCGCCTTTTCAAAATACTTTCAAAAACCACACAAAGCATATTTTCAAACAAAAGCAAGTGATCTAGCAAGCAACTAAGAGCCCGTAGATAACTACAGATGAAAAGGGTGCTAATACCTTCCATTTTCATAATCTACCCCCCCCCCCCCCCGAACTCAAGAAAAATCTCAAAGGTATTTCCTGTTCTTTTCAGCGTTTCCTTTTGGATAAAAGAAAAGTCGGCGGCGACTCTTGCTATCCGCAACATTTGCGATCAAACGCAAAACAACCAAGTCAGTTATCCCACCCCGTTACAAATACCTTGAAATTTTTTGTGAGAAGACTAAAAGTCAACCAACATCATTTCAAACCATTTTTCCACTTTGTCTTTTACTTTAAACTTTTCTCAAAAGATTGGACTCTTGTCAATCCTTGTAGTGATGCAAACAACTATACTTTTATAATATGTAGTGAAGTGAGATATTTTCCACTTGGGTGTCGAGTGAGGCATTCTTGATTTTAAAATCCAAGTCATATCCTCCACTTTGAGATGGTGCAAATTCTCCTTTCTCATGATTGTGGGTAGTAAGTATATTTTCAACACAGACAATGACGGTGATGTCTTATATCATAAAATTAACCAACACACTTGTATTTTGAATTTTTTAAAGGTGAACTATGTGTAACCTGATCCCCTATTGCATGAAAGGTGGTACGTAGGCAATAAAGGTTCACAACCGCGGCGGGTGCAAAAATCATAAAAAATACTTCTTTTCTCACCTCCACCATCTACTTCACATACAACATTTTATAGCCAAAATATACAGATTTTACAAAGAGGTTCCTGCAGAGTATCATAGATGTTTAGGATGCTAATACCTTTTCTTTGCATAACCAACCCCCTTACCTTGAATCATTCCCACTCTTTTGGGTTATTCGCTCTTTTCCCATTCCTTTGTAAATAATAAAGCGTGGTGGCGATTTTTATTTTGAAATGTGTAAGTCTAGTCAATCCAATGGCTTAGTCTTAAACATTTCTACCGTTACAGAAGGTATTAGCACCCCATACGCCCGTAGTCCTCTACGGTATCCACTCTTGTTGTTCTATCTTATGGGTGTATTTCAAATCTATATCTAAAATGTACGCAGAATGCATGCAAAATAAAGGATAAAATAATGTAGGGAAAATAAAAGTTGTGTTTGTTCGGACCCTACCCCAATGCATACGTATCCCTTTTAAGGAATCAGAGCAATCGTAGTTCGGCTCACATGTTTTTTTTGGTTTGTATTTTTTAATGAGCAATATTAATTTCGCCTTCTGCCGCAGTTTGACCTTTGGAGACTCACACGTCAGCACAAAAGTGAATTAACATGTTCTTTCTGAAAATTTTGAAATAAAAGCTCGAAGGCGCAAAAGAGTTTGCATTGGTTGATAGCTTTTACCTTAAAGAAGGATTTGGAAATTGTTAGATGTTTTAAGATTTGCCAATAAAAAGAGTTTTTGTTTTAAATGCAATTATACAAAAGAAAGAAAAAAACATCTAAGGGAGACTAACCTAAATCAATCCCTAATGTTATCATACAATGATGGTCTTATGGTTGAGTTTTGAAGGGAAATCTTTACCCTATGTTGACATGCTTGGATATAAATCCTAATGTCTATCTCAATTCATCATCTATAGATGAATCAAGAAGTTCTAAAGGAGAATAGCAAGGGTCTATCACCTAAAACTATGTCTATCTCGAACCATCTTCTATAGTTGATTCGAGAGCTCCTAAGGGAACATGCCGATGGTATATCATCTAAAAACATGCACACAAATACGAAATCAATCAAGAAAGCTAATAAGCTCAGGAGAACACACCTAGAGATATCCTATCTAGGTTAGCATGCCAAAGAAAGTCTAACAAAAACTGTCCTACGGGGAACATGAAATGACAACGAAGTCGTGATCTCAATTTCTAAATTGAGTGACTCATCGATTAACAATAAATAAAGGGAAGAGATAAAATCCTATAGGGATCATTCATTGAGAGTGAAGTCGTGATCTAAATTTCTAAATTGAGTGACTCATCGATCAACAACCAAGGAAAAAAACACAAGCACAACACATATAGAAAATGAAGTGCGGAATGCCTGCTACAAGTCTTTAAACAGTGACTTCGAGCGCACGCTCTTTATTTCCTACTTCTCATGATATCTAGGAATCAGTAAAGTTCAAAATGAGATAAACAAGAGAAAATACCAAACGAATATCAATCTGTAGCAAAGTCTATCAAAACAAAGAAACCCAGAAAACTTCAAGTAAGCTTCGACAAGCAAACAAAAGAGTCAGAAATCAAATTCCCAGAATAAGCGTCATAATGTCATCGATGTAAAAATAAATCCCCATCGAAATCTCAAGCGCATACGCATATTGTACAATAAATCTGCATAAGATTCCAGATATCAACAAGAAAAAGGTGAAGCATGAAGTATCGGAAACAAAATGATTATTTAAACATAAACCTTAATAGAAAATTATAACAAAATTCTAAAAGAAGAAAGATCTAGGGGAATTATATTATATTCCTAAAAAAACAATTAACAGATTTTTTATTGTTTTTATTATTAGTTTTGATTATCAAATATTATAGAAAGGAAACTAATGAGAAAAAGAAACTAGAATTATAATCAGAAGGGGGTGCAGGATGAAATCAAGGGGTATAGTAATAATCTGGGTGCTGAGCCCATGTTGTAATGTCCAAATAGCAGTTTTTTCCACAAACAACCAGACTGCCAAAAAAATTTCGTTATAGGCTTTGGGAAGTGTAGTTCGGTCCAAGTCATAGGCCTAAGGCAAAGGGTGGTATTCAGTCCAACAAACAACACCAAGTTCGTCACTCAGCCCTTTTTATTTAATTATTAATGATTTGAATTTAGAAACAACAAAAAAGAATAATAAAAAAAAGGGAACGATATTGGTGTGAGAAATTAGGGTTAGAGGTTGTGACTTCTCAACTTCATCGTTCAGAAACTCTCTCACCATCTTCTAACCTCAGACTGCACGGTGCCATCTCCTTGTGAACTCACAGAACCTCTGTGATTCGCTCCATCTCGTCCTATTCGCCGATGTGACATTTGTTTCTTAATCAAGTTCCGCCATCTCAAACCCCGCGACGATTTTAGACTCAATGTTGCCATCACACTCGAATTCTTCCTCTCGTATCGTCCTTGAGCGATGCGATTCTCATCCCTCTGATTTTGATATTACTCATGAATTCACACACATGAATATGAAATTTTTAATGAAATTTGAAGCTTACCTACCGGAGAACTCCGGTGGCCCTTCAACATCGACAACAACAAGAGATCTCAGGTAAACTTTTCAGTTATTTGCTTCTGCAGATTCATTTTCCTCTCTTCTCCTTATTTATTCTGAGAAATCCTTCCTATCGTGATTCTTTTTCAGTCGCTTCTTTGTTGCGTGGCTACTGATATGCTTCATTGATGACGATGAGGATTCGTCCTGCGATGAAAATGATGATTGTTGAAGCTACATGGAGATTCGCTGAAGATTTGCAGTGGACGATTGAAGAGTTCAAAGATGAAGGTAATGATGAACACATAATTGATGATTGAATGATAACGGTGATACAAGAAGAGGGTGGAAAAAGGTGGAAGAAGATGCCAAGATTGAAGAGAATTTCTCAGAGAGAAAGATTAAAGAATTTTATGGTTTTCAGTGGCTTTTTCCGAGTGAGACTGAAGAAGCCCATTCAAAGGTGAGGTTTTCTATGTTATATAATTTAGTTGAGATCTGAAAGTTAGTTAGGGATGTTTGAATCTGAGCCCATGCTTTCAAAAGTTTGTTACCAAAATAGATGGCTAGGATTGCATCAGATACTGAGCTGGCTTTTGTAATCTGGATTTCTGCAGGATTGGAGAGTTTCAGATATTTTCCCTTTTTCTTTTGAACCGTGAAGAATCCATCTAAAAGAGGTGAGGATTTTCCTTTTTTTCTTTCTGTTAGGTTGGTAGAAAGTTAGATACAGTTTGTTAGTTCTTCTATTTTTCTGTTGTAGGTTTTTGTTGGAGCCCCTTTGGAAGGTTAGTTAGGGTGACTATTACACAGGGCACTTAGGAGATTCTGTTGTGATTCAGTTAGTTATTTTTCTGGTTTTATGCTTTCTGATATTTCCTTTTATATCTTCTGATTTTCTAATGCAGGGCTAGATGTTTGAAGAATGCAGCAGGTTCATTCTTATAGGGCATAAAGGGGAGAATGGTTTGGAAGATTCAGATATTTTGGTGTAATTCATGATGAACCATCTTTGTGCAAGCTGGGATTGGCCCTCAAAAGAAGCGTGAACTTGAAGCCCACTAGCAAGGTATGGCTGAAAAGTAAGATTACAAGGCATTCGACATGAAGCTTTAGTTAAACGTTAGAACATGGAGAATGATTGAGATTAGGATAGACTTTGTTAGGTTTAAGTTTTCTTGTAGTTTTGAATGAATTTGAATATATCTTGTAATTGAACTAAGTAATGGACACGTATGGAATTTGTACAAGTTTTGCATGTAATTTGAACAAAAATGGTGTATGATATTTGAAATAGAAAGGACTTAGTAAATTTGTAAATGAACGAACTTGTTGGAATTTTTGTTGAATATGGAATGAGGAGGTTTTGAAATGGTTAATGGAACTTTGAATTGAAATTGGATGAAGAACTTTGCTGGAAATTTTGAATAGAATCAATTGGAACTTGAATCTTCCACTTGAAATTGAAAGTGATCTCATGCCTTGAATAATATTTGAAATGTTGTATTATTTCGCCTTGGTAGATTGAATTTCAAGAGATCAACCATGGATGGATCCTCCAATTTATATGCTTGATTAATGCACCTCAAACTCAATTGAAACCATAAGTCCAATGTTAACTTGTGAAGAAATCCACATGAACTTTCTTCCAATACTAGCATGAATCAACTCTTGATAAGCATGTGCTTGAGAACCTTAACTAATCTTGAGACCATGCCTTATAACCTTTGAATTTACTTATACCTTGCATTATAGGAAATACTTACGGCACTTGCACCTTAAGAAACTTGAATGGATACTTCCCTAATTAAATCCTCAATTCCCTATGAAACTTTAACTTGCATTACAAGTAATAACAACTCGAGAGAACAATAATCCCTCGAGGAATCCTTTGAAGATGAATAAGGAACTTGAGACATGGGAGGAATAACTACCAAGATAGCCTTAACATGTAAATCCAATGAATCCCAGTTGATGAGTTAACACACTTAATTGCCACGCATAAGAACTACAATTTTCTTGAGATGCGCTGTGATGAAAATGACTTTGACTCTTACCTTGAGGAAGATATCCTTGTAGCTTGATAAGGAAGATATCCATAATAACCAAGAATCAAAACCCTAAAACTCACAATTCAATGTACAAAGAAGAACCAGCAGAATCAGTCTTGTTTGATAAACACCTCAAACCAAAAGAAAACCCTAGCTTCACAACCATTGATCCTTTGAACCATGATTCAACAAAACCTGAATTGGTTAACAGAAGAGTAGATGAATGCCATGTCATAGTCATTAAGCCTGATCAAATGATAAGCACACTTATATGAGGAGACGTCTTGATTCAAAGACTATGTATGGTAGGTCCTGCCCTTGAATTCTTGACAAGAAAAACCTACAACCAAATGTTCATCAGAAGATAATAACCTTTTTGCTTGATGGAGAAGAAATCCAAACTGAACATGAACCAAAACCCTAATTCCACAGTCTTCCACACCAAGAAGAAACATAATGATCAGTCTTATTCAACATATACACCTCAAATCAGCTGTAAACCCAAGTTTCATAGATACTAATCTTTTGAACCTCAGGTGCTCTTCTGAAATGCAAAATGTAGGCTATATTAGTGACCTAATGAAAAAATGCGAATGCGACAGCCTAAGCAGGATGAAAGAAATTTAGGAGGGAAAATTTTGGGGTGCAACAGCTGCCCCTATTTAATCTTCTTCAGCCTGAAGGTGAGATTGGCGTTTGCCTTTCGAACTTTCAGGATGGAAGAAGATTAAATACTTAAGGAACCCGGAAATTTTCACCCCGAAGCCAGTCAGGAATTATTATATTTTTTGTATTTTTTTTTTTGTATTTTCTTCTATTTTTTGCTTTTTGGGTAAAAGGTGTTATCGGGGATAAATGTATGCCAAGATAGGGTCAGACACATAGAAGAGAACTTGGTTATCCAGGAACATCTGTCCGGAGTTAGCAGCAAACAGACAACAAGAAAGAAATCAAAAATACATGCTCGGAGTTGGTAGTGAACACCTACGAGAATAATATCAAGGATATACACCTAAGTCGGTAGCAGACATACGGAAGATATCGAAGAAGGAAAAGACCTAACACAACGGACTCGACCGTACATATTGGAGATGGAAGAGACCTAACACAGCGGACTCGACCAAAGATACTGAGGGTAAAAATCCATACTTCAATTGGAGATAATGATCCTGACCTCTGATGGAGGAACATCAATAAATGGGCTTAAGTCTCTGATGATCCAAGGATAACAATCACGACTTCCCGACATGCTTTTCAAATTCATAAATTGTTTAGCCTGCACATGAACTTAATATGATCAACCCTTGAAGATGAGGAAATTCCCTTGCATAATTTCTTGCCCCAATTTGTAGGGCTTTAAAGAGAACTTCCCCGAGAGAACTTTTTGACATTTGTTCCATCAAGATAAACAGCCTAGTGTTGTGAACTTTGGAATACTGCCCTGAACTGACCAGTGTTGGAACAAGTTTCAACCATGCTTGAGTGAATGCCTGTGCATCCTCAAATTCTGAAAAGATTCTCCTCTTAATCAACATATTCTCGAAGAAATTTTTCAAATCTCGACATAACTGCCCCAGTTTGGCTGTTCTTTTGAGGGATTAAATCCTGACTTAAGTGCCTCAGATTGGCTTATGTGATCGGTGGGAATGAGAACTGACTGTTTTTTGGAATGCTGGTTCGCGTTTTGCATTTGTTTTCGCAAAATGTTGCGGTAAGAAAGAGTCGCCACCGTATTTTATTTTATCAAACAAGGAAAGGACAAAAGCACAGAAAAATTCCTTTTTGAGATATTTCTCGGGTTCGGGAGGTAGATTATAGAAAGGGAAGGTGTTAGCATCCTTTCTATCCGTGGTTATCCACGGGCTCTTAGGTACTTGCTCATGTTGTTTTCAAAAGTTTGCTTTTCTTTGTGTTTGTGGGTTTGAAAAGAGTTTTTATTTTGAAGAGAGTGTAAGTGCGAAAAGTTTTGTTTTGTTTTAAAAGGAGCAAGTACTTAAGAACCATCTACCTACTCGAAAAAGGAATTAAACTGTGCTAATGTCCTTTAGACAATGTTATTCCACTATTGAGGAGTAGGTAGCATCGTCGTTGGAGTTTTCAGGTCAATTCGGTTAAGAGACGTGTGGTCACTAAAGCAATGTTAGGACGCCTTAGTGGTAACCCTAATGTCTTAGATCATTTTTTTCGAGGCAACCGTTTCCAGGAAACTTATGATCTTTGGACAAGAGGGCGACCTCTAAAACTTCCTATACTCAATGACCACGTTTGAGGCAACCAAGTGAGGTGTACCCTAAGAGTGACATGTGCAAGTGTGTTACTTCGGTTAATTTTATCTGTACATGTCATGGGTGAGCTATACTGATTTTAGGTTAAAGATTGATCTTGTCATGCATTGCCTATTTATCAAACATCTAACAATTAATATTGTGCGGAAATTAAATTGCGGGAAATTAAATCTAAACTATTACAAGGCGTCGGGTATTTACATCGCCAAAAAAAAACCTTTTAATTTAAATTGCGGAAAATAAAAGAAAGCGATAAATAATGTCCTAATTAAAATTAATTACATACCGGAAGCAATTAAAATATTGGAAATATAGATCGCGTGCGAAAAATTAAGACGACGCATTTTTAGGGTTTTGACCCTTTTTTGAAAGAAATAGATTGTTGTTATTTTTTGAATTAAAAAATTAAATCTAAGTTAATAATTAAATTAATTAATTAATGAAAATATTTTTGGTTTTTTGGTTATTTTAGGAAATAAAATAAAATTGATTAAAATTATTAAAAACCTAATTCTACATTGATTTTAATTTATTGCAAAAATCTGAATGTTAAACCTATTTAAAACTAAGTTAATTAATAAATATTTATTTACAAAATAAAAATAATGAAATTAATAAAAATGATATTTTTTTATGTTTTCTGGTTTTATTAAGAAAAATAAATTGGTTAGTGTGAATAATAATAATAATTAAAAACAATTAAAGAAAGAAAGAAAAATGAAAAGAAAAGAAATTGACCAAATGGGGGGGGGGGGTGGGCCTAGAAAGGAAGTGAGATCAGCAATCTCCAGGCCCAAACGCATTGGCCTTTGTTGACTTCTGTTAATTCCATATGTGCCTGTTGACTAGAGTTCATGGTAGGCACTCAATCTTGGCCATTGGACCTGATTTGAAGCCATCTAGCGCCTGATGGGATGAGGAATATGGTGGACCACGCTCATGATGCTGCATGGAATTTCCTGAAAATAAAATGCAACAAAGTTTTGGGGGACCTGGGATTCGAACCCAGGTCCCATTGCTCATTGGGTAACACACCAACCACTCCACCAACACTTGATAGTTGTTAGGATAATAAACACACAATAATATATTTGAAACAAACAACTATGCCTAAAAATAAAAGAAATATGGCGCGCTGATTTGAACCAGCCAATAGGAAGAGGACGCGTAGTCGTCTTCTTCATAAATCCCTGGTTTTCTTACCTGCGAATTTTTATCTGTGGGAAGATTCGTGGCTGGCTTCCAAAATTCATCTTAGGCCATGTAAATACCAACTAAGACTACCAACGTGTTCGTCTCTCCTCCCTGAACACAACCATGGTCATCGCTTGTCCTAATT